CATCACAATAGTAATTAATAACTAAATTTTACAAATCTTTCTATCATAAATCTTAAAAATATTTGCATTTAAATGAGTAAAAGATAATTACAAATATATATAGATATAGATATACTAAGATAANAATAATAATAATAATAATAATAATAATAATATTTATTATTTGTATTGCGCCTTTTCTATAAAATATTCAAAAGCGCATCACAATAGTAATTAATAACTAAATTTTACAAATCTTTCTATCATAAATCTTAAAAATATTTGCATTTAAATGAGTAAAAGATAATTACAAATATATATAGATATAGATATACTAAGATAACTGAAATGATTCCTTAAATAAAAATGTCTTAATTAAAGCCTTAAAAGATTCTAAGTTCGTTGCTTCGCGCGCGGACCTTGGCAGCTTATTCCACAGGAAAGGAGCAGCTACCTGGAAAGCTCTGCCTCCCATTGTTTTCTTGGTTTTCGCACTTGGTCTTTCCAACAAACGACCATTGCGCCTCAAATTGTAGCACGAAGGCTGTTGAATACTAATTAAATCTGAAAGATACTTAGGTGGTAGGCCATGCAAAATTTTGATCAAATTTTTTCACCAAATATTGATCTTCTTGTTTTCTCTGCAGATAATTGTTTGGAAATTGAGAAACTTCCATTTGAATTAAATATTATGCCCAGATAAGAGTATTCTGTAGAATTGGCGATTTGATCCCATTTAGGAAGAAAGTGTATTTAGCTCGTGTTGATTTACGGTTTTGTTTCTGGAAGATGAGTGCCTTTCTTTTTTTAAGACATATTTTCAGTGACCATTTGTTGCAATCTTCATTTGTGATATTAAGAAGAAATCCACGAGGAGATTGAGTAATTTTAATTCTCAGTGGACAAAAACCTTGTAACAGAATAATTTAAAGGATATTGCATTCTTTTTTACATTTTTTAAGGCCTAAAGATGTAATTAGTCACCTGTAATAAAACCAAAGAAAATTTCTAATAGGAGCCGGAGAAAATGATTGTCAAATTTCACAAAATTACATCATACATATGAAATTCTTGTGAAATTTGACATTCCTTTTCTCGGACTCCCATGGGAAATTTTCTTTGGTGTTATTACAGATGACTAATTACATCTTTAGCCCTTGAAAAATGTAAAAAAGAATGCAATATCCTTTAAATCATTCTTGTACAAGGTTTTTGTCCACTGAAAATTGAAATTACTAAATTTCCTGGTGGATTTCACCTTTAGTGCAATTTGGGAGACAAGTATACGTATACTTGGTCTAGATATAAGTTAGATAACAATGGGGAAATCATACATCCTTGTGGTACGCCTTTGTTATAGTTAAAGTAGTCGGTCCTCTTATTGCCACTTTTTATCGCACACTTTTTATCTTGAAAATATGTCGGCGATGAAGTGATAAAACTTACCAGCTATTTTGTTGTCAAGAAGTTTATATAAAAGACCATTATGCCATACCGAATCAAACGCTTTTTGAAAATAAAGAAACAGCAATATAATTTCGTGCGAGACTTTCCTAAATAGGGTATATAATTTCGTGCGAGTCTCTCCTAATTATATACGGGTTATTGCCTGTGCGGTTGATATGATTTTGTTAATGAAATTTCAGTTAGTACTCCAGTTGTAAAAAAGCAGTGACTCTAACGTGAATTTGCTCTATTGCCAATAAATGGTTCTAAAACAAGACGGCGGGCATTTTGTCCTTTGTCCTAGACAGGGTAATGAAATAGAAGTGGTTGTCCTGAACAGGGTATGCATTTTAGGATGTTTTTGTCAGAAACATGGTCAGGGATTCTAACCCTCAGTGGTTCACCTATAACCAAACAACAAGTTCAGTTACAAGTTCAGTTCAGTTGCTTAATTAACCCCCCTAAATTGTGCAAACACTTTGAAAACCTCGCACCGTGTTGGACAAAACAGTCAAAACAATTTGCATGTGACATCATCCGTGTGTGTAGATCATGGGCAACGAACAATCACAGCACCCGTAGCATTCACCACGTGGTATAAATGTACATAAAATCACCGTCCTGATGAGCCACAATAATGGCGAAAAAGCAGTCGTCGGCCACATTCCCGCTCTGTTTTAGCATCTATCGGTGTCGTGCTTATGTCTCGTACAGTTGATTTTGACGCAGAACGATCAGCTTTGCAGATTTCAATGTGTCTAAATGTAAATATAATACAGGGGAATTTATTTTCTCATTTAGTTCAAGATTGTGCCAACGTATGGCGTGGATTACGCGCCTAACCAATCAAGAGCGAGAAATGTTATTGATCGACCAATCATCGTAGATTAATAAAATGAAGTTATTATTATGCCCTGTTTATCACCAAAAGTTCCCTAGTGATTAAGAATAAATTCCGTCTTTGGCAGCAAGTAATCTTTCAACTCTTAAGCAGAAGCCGGTGGCAGATCCAGAGGAGGGAACCGGGGGGCCCGCCCTCTATTTTTAGACCAAACTGAGGTCCCAAGGGCCGAAGAAATTTTTTTGAGACCAGGCATCCCTTATCTGAAGGTCTGAATCCGCCACAGGAAGCAATGAGAGGCGGCCGGATGAATGCGTTCTCAGTATCTAAATATAATTAAACCGCGCGGATTCGAGTTCTCCGCTTTTTTAACTCTCTCTACATGTTGTTCTATGATTATTATGAATTAGTTTATTGTATAATGCCGTTTCAAAGTTTTGATTGATAGAGGTAAGAGTGCATGAGCCATTTTTTCAAACCCGAGAAAAAAAATGTCATTTCCTTACCATCTAGTCGCTACTATTACATAAGAATCAGCAGAAGCTATCATGAATTTCCCTTGCCATTATATATGAAGTGTATTCATCCACCCCAAGTACCTTCAGTAGGCGACAAAATTGTTAAGGCACTGTCATCAAATGATGTATAGTTTGAAGAACAAAAAGATCTACACCCCTCCACCACACCTTTATTCAACGTTGGGGGAGTTTGTTTTTTCTTACAGGTAGCTTGAACAGCGTCACAACGTTACTTAGAGCGGGTGGGGAGGGGGTTGCGAGGAAAAGCTTCATTTTCCCTTTTAAAGTCGACATTGTCGGCAAAACGCGAGGAACGACACAGCATTGTAATCTACACCATCCAAAATATAACAGATAGTACGCAACTCTTAAAAACCTCTAATTTCATTAGTTCCTTATATCACGCAGCTCCACTGCTGCATCCAAAACACTGACAATCCATTTGACGCCGCAGCATTTAATCGAATTAATACGGTATACATAACCCCCTCAGGATAATTAGGTATTCCCACGCTGAAAACGTTAAAGGAAAGACGTGTGCAACTTTCATGCAAAAAAACACGTTTTAAATCAAAGGAAAACAGTAAAATACATCTGAATATACAATTACCAATAAAGGTATAACTAAAAAAATACATGTATCACTGTTTAATCTGATATGTCATCAAAGCAATCTCTATTTTTTAAGGATATTTCTGTTTCCTTGACAGCCTCTGTAACCCTTTCCGCTGTTGCCTCACTGTTATTCTCATGGCTCAGTCTGGTAGGATTGTTCACGATCGGATTCATAAAGATTGCGGAAGGACAATCAACGAACAATATTCTCGGAACAACATTACTATTCCCACCAAGTACAACAAATTGGGACGAACTACTTACTATACTAAGAAACTCAAACACTATACCATACACTAAGACTAGTGTGTCGACCAATGCTTCAGCGTCCACATCGCCCAGTGTATCACCAAGTGTCTCGTCCTCCACCTCTGCTAGCGTATCAGCCAGTGTGTCGACCAGTGCTTCGGCCTCGACATCACCCAGTGTAACGCCAAGTGTCTCGGCCTCCAG